GAGGGTAGGAACGTAGATCGACCGGTAAATTGAGAGCTTCACCTTATGACTCAGCTCCTTCACCACAACGGACCGGTACAGAGACCGCATTACTGAGGACGCCGCACCGACCCATCTGTCAACCCGCCGCTCCATTTTTCCCTCACTCATGAACAAGACCCCGAGATAAACAGGATATTATATATACACAAAACAGAAAATATGATGTATTCTCAAATATTAAAGTGCTCACCTGTATATGTACGTTCATGCACCAATAGCTTATTAATCCAATAATATATCATTCACAGGAGCCAATCATCAAAATGAGTTATTACACCTTTTAAACTTCAAGTGCTGATCACATTTGTGTAGATTCAACTGAGTTTTGAATCCATCACCTTCTTTTCCTTAAGACGACAACTCTCTTTGCAATACTTTGTAAATACACCTTTATATCTATCTATAAACACGGTACATGCACACAGAGCCAATTTTAGAGCAGACAGGACACAAAACATTGATCTTACTATGACAACATCATATCCAACATACTGTGCACCAGGGTCGAGTTATAATAAATCAACTGGTCAAATGCACCAGCCAATCAGATGGTAGGAGCACTGACAAAAATCATCAGACAAGACTAACAAGTGAAAAGTCACTAACCTGCTGGTCACTGCACACTGAACTGACGTTGCTGAGGTTACTGTTGCTCATGCCAACCTGCTGCCCCATGGGAGGTAATGATCCGACACCACCAGAGCCTCCAGCCATGGAAACAGTGATGCTCATGTTGTTGTAAACCCCCTGCTGGCCAAAGGGCTGCCCTGCACTCTGCCCTGACTGACTGAACAGGCTGCGTCAGACAGGAACAAGCAGAGAAGACAGTATGTTACACAGGGGACAGGTGAAAGCAGCTGCTATTATGGCCCTTTTGACCCATTTTTATAAATATTAAGTGTTTGAAACATATCTGTGACATTTTGTTCACCCAGAGTGGTTTGGTTTTTCTAAATCCATCTTTACAAACAGCCCAGATTCCCCTCTGTCCTCTAACAGGGTGTCTCAGAATCCCTTAACATAAAATGTACATTATTCATGAGAAGCCACTCTCATTGGCTGGAGGTGATGACTCGTGTTCGCCCTCAGTCAATCAAAACCGGACCTGATGAATAATGCAAGTGCTCTAACACTTCATCTTTACCTTGTGTAATGGCTGCAGCTGGAAACATATAACAATATACAGAGATATAAGAGTCTGATCCAGAATGGGAGGGACAGAGTTCAGAGGACCTCAACCATCAGCCTGGTAAATATACATAATGTAACAGAACTGTATGTATTGTTTACATAAGGTTCACTTTCTAACCTATTGGTGCCCATGCCTGTCTGTTGCCAGCTCTTCATGTCTGGTGACTGGTAGCCAAGAGGCGGGGCTTGCTGAAGCAGAGGACTCTGGGAGGTTGAGTTCTGAGGTGACAATAATGGGCTGGTTGGGCTCATCTGAAGAGGGAAAGATGGGTCTTGCTGAACCACAGCTTTGAAAGATAAAAATACAAAAGTTAGATTAGTTGAGACAAGTAAGCATTTTGTGATTATATCATGACAAAAAGCACAATGCCAAAGCAGAAGGACAGACAGCTGGTAGATCACAAAAAACATAAATGAAATCACACACACAGCTTCCGTGTCTAACATGGACCAAATTCTATCTTTGTCAAAACTTATCAAAACCATTTTTGGTTTGAAATTTGACGAACAACGGGTTGCAACGTCTGTCACCAGACCAAATTTCATCCAGATTCTGGATCTGATGGCCATTTAAAGTTAATGCTAAAAAACCCAAATGAATGCATATTTTCTGCCATAACATGGTCTATAATGAAGACAGCAGCCTGAAGGTAAGATGCACAGTATAACTGCCTATCAGACCCTAAAAGATGATCTGGATCAAGGATTTTTGGACACATTTTGTGTTGTCCTGGATCTTATTTTGTTTGAGTGAGCGAAAGCTGTGCCTAGGTGGACGTACATACGCTCTCTGAGTGCTCCTGTTCATGTCAACTACACAGATCATCTTATGTGAACAACAAAATGCAAGGATGAAATTCATCACTGGACTTTTGTTTACCACTAAGGGTGGTTTTCAGGAAGACTTCCAATATTTGGATACTGGTATAAGTTATTAAAGATGCAAATATCTACAATTAAGTGTAGCAAAACAAAACAACAGTGATCTGATATGAAAATGCAGCAGAATGTTGCCTTGAACTCACCAGACCCTCCAAACTGCTGAAACAGGCCCTGCTGCAGTGAGGAGTTCACGGTGCTGCTGAACTGGCCCTGCAAGCCGCCCATCAGTGTCTGGTTATTCACAGGAACTCTGACGGACAGCTTGTTGTCCAGAGGGCCCCCAGACATGGTGCTGAAGTGACTCGGTGAGGTAGGGGGGTTTCCCGTCATCGGGCTGTACCCTGGAGGGATGTTGAACTGTTGCTGAGGCGTTGTGGGGGGACCCTTCGGGACCCTGGCAGTTCCAACGGGCCCCACAGCTCCAGCCGGACCGCCTGCCATGTTCTGTCTCATCAGCATAACCTTCTGCTGAAACAGCTGCCGCTGACGGTGCTGGATGCTGTAGAGTTCTCTCTGACGCTGGGCCAGCATTTGGGCATTCAGTGGAGGTTGCTGAGAAAAATGATGAGAAATAAGAGCATGCTACAGAGAACTCAGTCATATGATACGCCATGTTATCCATAAAGTCACTTGTACAGGGCATCTGCAAGTTTCAGGGAGTCAGACTCAAACTGTTCAGGATTTTGTTGTGCCATGAATATCCACGTGAAACCAACTTAATGATGGCAGTAAAGCAGCAAGAACAAGGTAATTGGTATTTACTGCCACAGAGACTCACTTGTGAGGGAACTTGAGGTTGCTGAACCCCCTGGCGAATCCCCATATTTGCATGCTGGGCTCCGGCAGGAAATGGATTCATGCCTGCCAGCCTGTTCTGGAGCTGAGACCAAACAACAGACAAAGAGAAACAAATGTAATTAGCAGGGGTCAGGCAGGTGTTGAAGGATGAGAAATGAGAGATGATAGAGTGAAGGTTAGACAGGTTTTACAGTGAGAGAAAAATTAGATTGTTGAAAGAGGAGAAAGAAAAAGGCTGACAATGAAGGAGATGAGTCAAATATTAATGATGAGTGAGGGCAGGGAAATGGAGAGCTCTTTTAGAAACGTTTGATCCAATGTGAAGATTCACAGATGAAGATGTGAAGATTTCTGTCGTTTCTGGTAGATATTATTACGCTGATGTGCATACAAGTGACCGTTTAGGTTATTTGATGATATAAAAAGGGGTGTAGTTTCGATGGTTTGAGGTCTGATGCTGTTACTCCACTTTTCGTTGCTACTGTGCAAAATGCCAAGATGGCAGCTTCACTTTTGCATAGTGGAGGGTGGTGACGTGTCATCCATCTTTATACACAGCCTATGGTTTATCCAGAGACTATATTGTAAAGCAACACAAGTATCAACATGTTCCTTCTTATATAGTTTATAGTCGTAATTATGTAAATACTGAATAAACACAAGCCACTGCCTCAGTGGCTTCACCTGCTGTGGGCCCTGCAGTCTCTGCTGCAGCTGCAGGCGCAGTTGGTTGGGTGGCAGCCTGAACTGCATGCCCGTCCCTTGTGGTCGTGTCATGCCACCGGGAAAAGCCCCTCGAGGGGTTCCAAACCCCATAACCTGTGGCCCCACTGTGGCCAGTTCTGTAGGAAATTGAGCTTGTGGAGCTGGTGTAAATTGGGAAGGGTAGGTGGGGAGTTTTGGGTCCACAGAGGCTGGGGAGGCAGTCTGTTGCTGGGTTGGGACGTTTTGAGGCAATGGGTCAAAGCAGCCACCCTGGGAAGAGAAGGACGAAAAATATATATTATGTTAAAAAAGCAGCTAGGAGTCATTTGAAAACAATAAAACGTTGTGAACTTTTTGTTTTTCCAGGTTTTAATTTAAAAAATTTTCAACTGTACTTAGTCCAAGTGATCAATAATCGCAGGATTCTTTGGTTTTCTTTTCAACTCAAGAGGTTTTGATCCTATGGACCCATCACTTAGACTTTATGGCGTGCAAGAGACTGCGCCTGATTGCACTCTCCCTCCTCAGCATCGCTGTTTTTGTCACAATAAACAAACTGAAGCAAAAGTGCCAGCAACCGCCCTTGATAACAGCCAATACAGATTCTGAACAGGTTGTATTCTGAAGCTAAAATTAAGTAAGAACTACAATAATTAGAACAGTTGACCTGGAAAAAAGTTGGCGATTACATCCATAGGCGTTTTACTTAAAAGAACAGGCTGCCAACACGGTTTTATTTGTTTTAACTAATTAATTATAGTAACACTGTAAAATATATGATGATGCACTGATCATAAAATGAAACTGGTTGTCTTTCCTCTTATGCTCACTACACTCTTTAAACCTGTGCACTTCTCCTTCCCCTCTCTCTCTCTCAAGTATTATAGTCTTCATCACATACCTGTACCAGTTTGTCGATACCCAGGGCCTTGTCCAGCTCAGCCAGTTCACTCTCATCAGTCCCACTGAGGAAGGAGATGAGCTGCTCTAGCAGAGCTTTCTCATCATTTCGGCCTTCGGGTGTGGTTGGAGGGCCGAGCACTTCATCTAGTGTGCAGGGCACACACTGCCTGCTCACAGAGAAACACAGTGTTTCTATCATACTATCATCTGCATTGTTGCACCACTACACTGGAGCGTCAGTGGGTTAAATCAACTTTTCTCCCATAAGTTCAGAATAAACAAAATATCCATCATGTATACGGCTTATTCCTGAATACGGTTGTGGGGGGGATGGGGCCAATCCTAGCTGACACTGGGTGAGAGGCGGGGTCCACCCTGTGGAGGCTGCTCTGCTACATACATACACACACACACACACACACAGTAAAATGATATTTACTCTTGTGGTGATGCCAAGGGAGCCTGTAGAGGGTTTCCAAACCCATCAAAAGACAAGCTGTCAGACATAGGCAGTGGCTGGAACTGGGCATCTCCCACCTCCATCTTGGCTAGGCCTGAAAAAGAACACCATCTTGAACAAAATAATGTATTTTACTGGAATAAATTTGTAACAGATTGAAAGGTTGGAACTTCCAGCCTACAGACACAAATGCAACAATATTTTAATTCTACAGATTTTGTGTCAAGTCACTCTTCAAAGCTTTATGGCTATTTTCCACCTGAATCCATTTTTCCCTTACTGTTTTCTAACATAACAATATATTCTGGCCAAACAGGTACTGAGAACATTTTCTAGGACATTTCAAAGACAAATTGTGACTATAATACCAACTATTGGCCCTATTGTGTTGTGTACCAGTGCTTGAACTGAATGGGCTGATAACTTCTGCCTCTTGAAAAGGGCTGCTGTCTTTGGGGGTTTGGAAGGTGTCCCCCTGTCCCTGGGCCTGGTTTGGAGTAGGGGGACTGCAGAAATCAAATGCTGACTGACTCTGGAGGCTGCAGCCAGAGGGCAGGCTGCCATCACTGAGCCCTGAGAAACAAATACATAGAAGACAAGTAAACACAAATAAGACAACAAAAATGCACAAACCTTTAATGTACAATACTGATACACAGACCCACACTTTGAGACTTTATAGATATACAACTATACTTTGAATAAATAAGTCTGGTTCTGTGTCTAGTCTGATGACACTGCAAGCCCCCCCGATAACCACTAGGAGGGAGAAGGACAAACAATGTAAAGGTAAATAAATGAAACAGAGAGCTCCCTGGATCTGGATTTTACTGGGTACTACTACTACTACTACTACTACTACTACTACTACTACTACTACCACCAATCATAATAATAATAAAAACAATGATGCTGCACTTCAAAAGCTCAGTGTCCACACATCTACTGTAGTTTTGTAGTCATTCTAAAATATTTCCATCTGTACATGCCAAGTTGAAACCGTACCTCTGTTAGGAGTGCCAGGAGGCTCTCTCTTCACATTTACATTTCGGGGAGTGCTGGCCTCACCGGGCTGGAGCTGAGTGGGTGACTGCAGTTTGAGCTGGGGGGAAGGGGAGTGGAGCTGGGGTGATGGGGACTGCAACTGGGGAAGGGACTGGGATAGAGGGGATTGAAGCTGAGGCACAGGGGACTGGAGTTGAGCCGGGAGCTGGGAAGCCGGAGAGTGGAGCTGGAGGCCTCCTCCGGGGGTTGTTGGGTCCTCATTGCCTTGTTTGGCCCCACTCGGGCCTCTGAGGCCAGGAAGCAGCTGGGTGAGAGGGTCCATGTCAACAGGGCCACCAGACATCTGAGGAGAGAGATGAAGAGTAAATCATAAACAAATGAAAGGGACAGAGATGAGGAAAACACAGAGAAAGACAGGACGGGCAGACCAATAGTACAGTGGCATTATTATTATTATTATTATTATTATTATTATTATTATTGTTGTTGTTAGGTTTTTGGCCAACAAGCAAAATTAGAATAGCAATTATTTTACACAAAAAAGCATGAAACATAAGGGTAGATACATCCATATGAACAAAAGCATGTATGCACACATATATAACCATACAAAAATAAAATGAAATAAATAAAATGTTTGTTGACCAAAGGTGTAGGCTGAAGCTAAAGCTTATTATGCCTACCCTTACTCCACACAAGCAGCACTAATGGACATTTAATATAAAAAATATTGAGTATTCTGAATATATATTTAGAAGAACATGCATTATGATTATTATTTTCATTATTATTAATGAGTATATCTTTTTTATATAATTAACTCTTTCTAATAAGTTATCAATTTTAATTTGAATATTATTATCTATCATTTTATTGCTAAATACCATGAATTTTGTTTTAGATAAATTCAGAGATCATTTATTTGAATCGAACCAGCTCTTTAATGTGCAGTTCTCTCTCCACTACCTTTATCAACTGTTCCAGATTTTCACCAGAACAATAAACATTGGTGTCATCTGCAAACAGGACAAAATTGAAAACATCAGATACCTTACAAATCTCATTAATATAAATTAAAAATAAGTTAGGTCTCAACACTGAACCTTGTTGAACTCCACAATTTATTCTCTGCAAATGAGACTCTACACCATTTAGGTGCACATACTAAAACCTATCTGTTAGATAATTTTCAACCCAAGAATGTGCTATCTCCCTGAAACCCTGATATGTTTGCAATTTATACAGTGCCTTGCGAAAGTATTCGGCCCCCTTGAACTTTGCGACCTTTTGCCACATTTCAGGCTTCAAACATAAAGATATAAAACTGTAATTTTTTGTGAAGAATCAACAACAAGTGGGACACAATCATGAAGTGGAACGAAATTTATTGGATATTTCAAACTTTTTTAACAAATAAAAAACTGAAAAATTGGGCGTGCAAAATTATTCAGCCCCCTTAAGTTAATACTTTGTAGCGATACCTTACAAATCTCATTAATATAAATTAAAAATAAGTTAGGTCTCAACACTGAACCTTGTTGAACTCCACAATTTATTCTCTGCAAATGAGACTCTACACCATTTAGGTGCACATACTAAAACCTATCTGTTAGATAATTTTCAACCCAAGAATGTGCTATCTCCCTGAAACCCTGATATGTTTGCAATTTGTAATAGTTCCAACTACATTCATAACTGCCATTGTTGTGGACCTATGTGCTCTAAAACCAAATTGTTCTTCAGTTAAAATATTATTTAATTCAATATAATTATCCAGCCTTTTAACAAATAACTTTTCTAATATTTTGGAAAATTGTGAAAGCAAAGAAACGGGTCTATAATTAGAAAACAAATGCTTGTCACCACCTTTGTGTAGCGGGAGAACTTTGGCTATTTTCATTTCATTTGGAAAGATGCCGGTTTTGAATGACTGGTTACAAATGAAGGTAAAGGGCTGAACAATAATATACATTATGTTCTTAACTATAAACATATCCAACCCATGGATGGCATGAAAGAAACATGAATAAAAAAAAATGAGTGTGAGGAAGACAATCAGTGAAAGAGAGATGGGGAGAGACAAATGGTCAAAGGCCAGTGGGATTCAAAGGCTGCAGCTGGTAGCTGAGCCCACATTGGAGACAAAGTCCAAGAAACCAAACACTGAACTTGACAACAATGGCTGCCAAGCAAATGCCAACACAGGAGAAGACTCCATAGAGATGGACACAGGACTGTGCTGCTGATCCAAGCTGGACACAGCTCTGCATAGTCTAAGCCAGTTGAGTTTATTATAAGTCAAGTCAATGTTGCAACTGACTCAAACTGTGGAAGGCATGTCCTGTCTTATTGGCTATCATATTTCATTGGTTACAGTGAGGCTAAATTTACTAAAGATCAGTTCCACAACCATTTTTACTTCTATTTGTCTAGTTTAAATAGAACTTGTGGAAACATGTCTCTAATTTGTACCTAATTCTACTTCCTAAAATAAACTGAGCTACTCACCAACATTTTTAATAATGCTAAGTAGTATAAATACCTTTGCCTATTGTTTATTCCTTTTTTATATTAAAGATGCATTTATTAACAACAAAATATGATCCTTTGTAATAGACATCAATTCAGAATGATATATACAGTAACTGTATCATAAACCAAAACCAGTGAAGTAAAAGTTAAAAATTAATTCAAGTTTTTGGACTGAACGATGTACTTGTTAGTGTTATTATATTATTATTTGCAGCTGAAATGCTGCAAATTCTCAGACCTGCAGTGAATAATAAAGTACACAACCGAGTATCACAGCAGTTACCTTAACCTCAACCTGGCAGAGACAGGTGTGTGAGCGAAGACATTTCAGTGACACTGTAACACTCTAGCTTGTGTTGTTTGTGTTATTAACAACAATTATACCACAGAGTCTCTGCTGTCATGGTGATTCTCTCCTACAGGACTGGACTTGGGGCTGATGCAAACTGAGCTGCTGGAAACTCCTGAGGACCTGCATGCACTGCCTGGTGCAATAGCACACCCCATGCAGGTCATTCCTTCTCTGCTGGCTTTTTTCTCCACTTTTACCCTGACAGTCTGCAGGCTGAGAACAGATGGAGGTGGCAGGTCCACCAAGTCCTTCAAAAAAACAAAAGTTCAGTTTCTTACTGTTATAGTAAAATGCACAGCGAGATGCACACCAACTTTAATGCAACCTAATGAAGGCAAAATAACCACCCTAATCAGGCCAACTTGCCTGGATGAAGGCAAGGTTACTTAGCCAGTTGTTTTTAATCAATCTTTTTCACAATACTTAAAAGGAAAACTGACAAATTCCTGCATTTTTAAAAAATAAAACAATGTGAGTCACCTTCTCATCTGTATCCAGGAGAAACCGGAGTAACTGGTGGTCCTGTGGCTCTCTGGAGGAGGACTTGGAGGGTGCTGTGGTCAGCACCAGAGTGCCAGGGGGCTCCTTCTTGATCTCAACTTCGTTTTTGCTTACTTCCTCTGTAGCAGCGGAATCATCGTTGGGACTACTGTCCTGGAGCAGCCGATGAAGGATCTTGTGTCGTTCTGTCAGAGTACTGTGAGAAGGAGGGCACTGAGGGGCAAGAGGGGGGTTAGGAGGATGAGGTGATGAGGTACAGTAGATGCTGCTGTTGTTGTCTGGTTCAACTCCTGTGCCAGTGCTATCCAGCAGCTGACTGAGTCTGGGGTTACCTAACTGTGAAGAAGAAGGATGGGAGGCTTTAACTGAGTCCTCTCCCTCTTCTTCTCCTCCTTCTGGGGGTTTTGCTGATGGAGGCCGGGTAGAGGAGCTGGTGGGTGTATTGGCTTGTCTCTGTGGGCCAGGAGAGGACAGGGAGAAGGACCCTGTTGACCCACCACTACTGTCACTGCCAATCTGCTGCCCATTGAGGCTGCCTCCACTGCTCAGTGCCCCAGCTGGGGAATGGAGGCCTGGTGTGGAGGGAGAGAAGGGGTTCCCTGGCACCCGAGGACTTCCCCCTAACCCAGGACTGGCTCGTGGCATCCTGGGTGACATAAAAGAGGTAGGGGTAGTTGTGAGTGGGCTGCTCAACGAAGAGGGACTGCTGACCTGCTGGGTACATGTCCGATTGGGCGTCAGGTAGCCTGAGGGTGTGGCTGGGTTATGACCGTGAGAGGAGGCATTGCTGTTGTTGGGGTGAAGGCCGGGTGTAGTGAGGGCTGAGCCTTGGGTTGAGTTGCTGCCAGGAGGAAGGTTTGGGGAGCGGGAAGGAGTTTGGGCAAGGCTGCCAAGGGTCAGTGGAAGGCTGGGGTTAGTGTTTTCCTGAGAGCTAGCAGTGTTGTGTTCCCTGGGAGAAAGGAGGGAAACATGAGATAACAGTAACCTGAGGAGTCCATACAGTACATTAGTATTTCGATTTTGAGCCTTATCCTGGTTTTACATAGAACATAAAGTGAATTATTCAGCTTCATCTATACAATGAAAAGGATCCAGCTTTCATATCATCTACATCAGAAGCAGTGTCTTTCACTCTCTCATGTCCAGTCATTTCTGCACACTACTGAGCAGCTGAGGTTGACCTGACTGCCTGAATCTAATCAACAGAAGACTACAGAAAGAATAACATTAATCACCTGCATTACCAGTGTCAAACTGAGGATGTGATGCTGATAAGCATAAAATGTAACTGGGATACCACAAACACCTGATCATATCTGGCCTACTCATGTAAATGTGCATGTAAACACACTCACTCTGACCTTACAGTCTCTATCAACCAATGAGAACCCATGTTAGATAATTTTACTTTACTGTTTGTGATTACAGCTCTTACAGCTTCATATATCTAATGCCTGCATCGACACGTAACACTGGGCTTCTTTTTCAAATGTTTAGAACCAGCAACTAATTTGCACGTGACCAGATTTACCTGAAGCCAAATTAACATCTTAAGCAGATAGACCACAATTTTTTTGGGCTTGTTTCACGAACAACATCATGACGTCACAACAGGAAAAGCACAGGTGTTAATGATAAAATTATTGAAAGCACAGTTCTTTGGATCCCAGTGTATCAGGGTTGTGCACTGACACATCCACAATAGTGTGTGTATGTGTCTAACAGAGTACCTGTCGATAGTGTGAATGCCCATAATGAAGGGCTGTACGTCTGGGTTGGGGGGGCAGCAGAACTTGCAGCGAGTCTGAGCGCTGAGCGGGGTGCCGTCGCTTAATGTGAAATGGTACAGCGGGCTGATAGCAGTGCCATGGATCATCACTGTTGGGAACGCACACAGACACACACCAGCACACAGAGGAAGAGGCAGACAGTTGTCAGACACCTGTTTGTTTTGAGCCTTCTCCTTCATGTATCCTCTGACTCTCCCTGAGGTCTAAATGATACTTTCACATCAAATTGTAGACATCAGTATAGGTTCTAGAAAATCATAACAGCGTTTTCATCTATTTTCTAGACTAAATAATGAATACATAAGTTAAATAATAAACAGCAAATTAATCAAAAAGGAAAATAAACGTTAGTGGTATATACCCACTCCATTCTAACCCCTATTCTTTTACAGTCCTTTTCATTCCAAGACATTAATATGAAAGTGCAGTGTCTAGGCTTCCAAAACATGTGCAGAACGTATGAAAAGTTTCTGAAACCTAGATTCAAATTCAATCTACTATAATGTTATTAAAATAGCCCTGAAACTCTGGTAAGCCAGACAAAGCTGGAACAGAGCATATCAATGATTTTTGGTAGTGAAGCTCAAACTATCCACTGCGTCCGCTCACCCTCATGCAGCAGCTTCTTGGCGTGGGAAGGCTCTTTGCCCTGGGGCTGAAAGAAAGCATAGATGCACTTCCTGACCAGGTCCTCCCAGCCAGGCCGGCCTGTCGCTCGCAAAGCACTGGTTTCTATGGAGATGATCTTCCCTGAAGGAGAACACCGCACACGCACACTAAAAATCTGTCTGCATTGATTTCAACATCTTCATTATCCTCCACACATTCTGGGTTCACACAGTGACCCTCATGAAAAAAACTCTAGCTTTCTGAGCTGGAACATTTTCTATTAGCATTACATTAAAAATGTGTAAAGTATGATGAAAACTAATTTCCTGTAAAGCAAATCAACTCCAGACTCATCGACTCATGTTGAGTACACCTCTTAAAATCCCATCATCTTTCAGCCAATTCAATGACGTCTGGGAATTCTGTCCATATACCTGTTTGTGTCTGTACGTTACCTGTGGGGTCCTGCTTTGTGATGAAAGACTCGGTGCCGACAGGCTGGGTGCGAGGTATCCGACAAGCAATACAGATCAGGCAGCTCTGCAGGTCTGAAGAAAGACGGGACAAGTGCAAACAACAGATGTTGAGACTTAAAACTGACACAAAACAGAAAAAAGTAAAAAGCACAGCAAATCTGCAACGCAGGAACTAAATCGCACGATTATTTTCAAGGCCACTGCAAAACTGACTCATATTAAATATGCCGAGTCCTGCAAGAATCTGGCCCCTGTCAATTTACAGTGAGTGGAAGTCATGATAGAGGAATCTTGAGAACGAGGACGTGTTAAATGTCACAGCAGTAGATTCACACACAGGTCTGTTATGTTCCACAATCTTCTGGAAATCACCACCAGCCACGTCATAAAGAAGGACAATTCTGGCAGAGAATAAACTGCTTTCTGTAGGGCTCATGCACAAGGTTTTAAAGAATCTAAACATGCATTTTTAAAATAATAGTTAGAAAAAGCTTTACAAAAATAAGGACACAGATCAGTGTTCCTTGCTTCCATTCTGTGCATACATTTGCACTAGCTTTAAAAACTGTCAAATCTATCGACTCCGTGTAGTAAATGTCTGCAGACTGTGTGCACTCGTTGTGTTTGCATGTACCATCTCCCTCGTCCTGCACTGCCCGTGGCTGGGACACGGTGAAACACTGCATGATCTCATACTGCTGCCGAGCTTCCAGATTTTCTGAATCCACCTCGTCTGGCGGCCTCTTGAGCATGCGGCAATTAAAGGTGTGGCTGTTCCTTCGGCCAGGTTCCTGTGGCCATGGAACACCATTTACTAGATAAACAGAAGATAAACACAAATAAATGATGTACTGATGAGGATGAACTTCAATTAACTTATTCAGATTCTTTATTTCCAAGGTTATGATGCATGTCGCATATATCTGAAAAGCAACAGAACATAAAAATGTAAGTTTCTAAATGTTTTCAATGAGACCGATGTGTTTTGCTTGTTGTTTTTGCATCACTGAGCGCCTCATTTTTCCACTCTGCCTTTTGTTTTTTGTAGGAGCTTCCTGAACACCACCAATTGAAAATACTTCAACTCAGAGCAGAAAAGTGCCAGATGTCATTGGCATTTTTTCCACTGTCCAATTAGATGAATTGAGCGGCGAGCCTTCTGTAGTGGGGACCTACTGCAGACACACATTAAGCAGGCAGGATCGACTGTGGACGTTGTCCCTGACTCATCCTAAAATAAGCCTTGAAGCGACAATCATCTGTGATTTCGGCTCTTGCTGAGGCTGGTCTGCAGGCTGCCCACACACATCTAAAGCTGTTGTGAGTTGTGTGAAAAATTAGGGATTGCCGTTTTGTCTTGTGGTGTGTACCTGTAGCCCAACTTTATGATGCATCTTTAAATTTGTGTTTCTCTCTCTGCTTCCCTGTTTCAGCCTGACCAGTCTCCCACTTTGATTTAACAACTGCTTTTTCCAGTTATCACATTTCAGTTTCCTCTGCCACAGTCAGCAGCGATAAAACAAGCAGTGATCTTTTCATATTTTATATTTTATATCTCTAAAAAGGAACCTCTAATCACCTTTATTGGCCAAGTATGTTACACACAAGGAATTTGTTTCCAGTACAGAACCGAGGCAGCCATCTTGCAGCACCAACTCACACCGATGGCTCTAACCAGCGGGGGCAACTTGGGGGTTCAGTGTCTTGCCCAAGGACACCTCGACATGTGGACTGCAGGCACCTTGATTCGAACCTCCAACCCTCCAGTTGGGAGACAACTGCTTTAAACTAAATTCTGACACTTTAGCATCATTAAAAAACTGTAGTTAAGATGCTTCTGGACCAAAGAGCAGTTCAGCCAGTTTCTTGCAAAATCTCCTCATGCCTCCTGAATGCTGTGCGAAGGCTGCTAGAAGCCTGCAGTCTTAAAGATGGATCATTTAGAGTCATCATAGTCATGGCTGAAAACTATAACAGAGATGTGTTGATGTGACACAGTATAAAAACTGTTTCCATGCCTAGTTTATCGAAGAAAGCACCGGAACATTACAAGAAGCATTCAAGGACCCTTTAAAATGAAATTGATTTGTTTTCAAGCTGCTCTGTGTGAGTATATTTTGGAGATCTGTTTCTAAGGAGAATGGAGAGCTGTAATTACTGGTGCAGAATCATTCCTGTCGCCTACTGCGCGTTTATCTTGTGTCCTTATACAACCCCCTCAGGCCCCCTTCCTTTTTCATTATAATCTCTTCTCAAGGTTGGAGCTAAAAATTCTATTCACAGTGAAGAAATTCACTGTTTCGTAGTTTCATACCTACCTCACCCCTCAGACTCACCCACACATAGGCTGCTTCTCTACTCCTACTTTACCGTTTTTCTCCTCTCCTAGAAAATTTTGTAGGTTTGTGTAGAGCACTAAAAACTTTCACTTAAAATTTTAATCCTATGTTTCTTCATAGCTGATTAAATTCACCTTAGCTACAGTATTTTCCTTTAATAAACCATACTAATTAACGGTATTAAAGACTGTATGCTAATGTTGCTGCTTCTTTAATGGGTTTCACAAACTGCCAAATTTAAAGATGCTGAAAATGTCATTACAAAATATCTAAAAAAAAAAAAAAAAAAAAGAGATGTGTAATTTGCATATGACAGTTAATGGCATCTTTAAACACTGGATATAAAGTATTAGAATGCAGATTCCAGGTCACTCACCCAGGCTTCTGGGCAGCAGATTGCGTACAAATTCATTGTGGTCTCCCACATGGAGGATGCTGTAAACACTTGAGGTCATCAGCTCCTCCTGGGTGTATCCGAGGTAACTTGTCACGTTCTCAGAGACAAAGACGATGCGGCCCTCCCAATTGACGACAAAGAAAAACCCATCAAGGGCCTGGATGAGCAGGAGAAGGAGCCAGAATAGAACGAGGAGGGGTGAAAGAAAAGTGTGTTGAGTTTGAGCAACGCTTCCAGTAGTGGTGCTGGGGAAGAAATGTTGTGTTGGTGCAGGTGTTGTTCACCTCTAGCAGCATGGGCCCCAGGGCCTCTTTCTCCACCAGCCCCTGGCTATTAGAGGAGATGTCGCTCTTCTGCACCTCTTCATCTGGAGACAGAAGAGCTGCTTTCTCTGCCAGGAGGAAACAAATACAATCTGAAATCTGGATACAAAGACATGCCAGTGTTCTGAAAAATGTTTCAAGTGTCAAATCTCAAGACCTATGTTTTTTCTCAAAGGTATTTACTGATGCATTCTGTTCTGATTTGTTCCTCTTTGCTCTTATCTTTTAAATAATTTTTATTTGTTCTTTATTGAAGGTATAATTCTCTAGGGCATAATGCTGACATGTCAGATATGAACCATAGCTTCTGATTTGGCATTTAAGGGTTCAGGTAAAAGTAACTCAAATGAGCAGTTCTGGATTATGATTCACTTGTTGTGGTTAAAGGGTGTTGGACATCAGCATGAAGCTTTAACACTGTTTAAAATACACTTTCAGATTTGTAAAAACTTTATTTCCCAAAACAAAATCAACTAAAAACACAACAAAACAGCGATTTGATTGTTTTCTCCATCCTTATACCATGGAAAATTGGTCTGAAAGTTTCCAGGTTTTTCAGGACACAGGACAGTTTCTTCATTTGGCACAGTGTATGCGTGCTCACCCTGCTCGCACCGTTTGATCTGCTGGATTTGGTCCACAGTGCTCTTGAGGATGTGGCACTTATCAGGTTTGATGCTGACACTGGCAATGTTGGCCATATTGGACGACAGCAGCTCAGCCAGCTCCTCGATGTATCGGCGCTCCAGCTCCCGTCTCCGCTTCTCCAGACTGCAGGAAAAGACACGTATGAAGACACAATGCGAGAGTGAAACATGCAGTCACGTGCATTTTGTGCTTTTCAACACATAAAGGAAATTAACTGTAATTCAAAATGTTAGACCTGCAGCTTTTTAAAATAAGCACATATCAGAAAAAACATTTTAAATAAGGATCATTTAAATCTGATTTATTAAACTCTAGTGAGTGGAACATATCTTTTGTAATGGCATTGTTTGCTACTGATTGGCCAAGGTGCACCGATGTACGTTTCTGCTAGACATGCACCGATACCAGTATTGAGTCCGATACCACCCTCTAGTACTTGTACTGCTACTTGTAATAGCTGTCTGATACTACGCACCAGTGCCACTTAATGGCAACATTAGGTCAGCCTTATGCTGGCTGAGCAGCTTGTTAGGCGGAGGAGAAGAAGCTGGATTGATTCCAAAATCAATGCACTTTTATGGCAAGTGTCAATTTTATAGTATAAACTGCACTATTATCAAGTACTTGTATCTGTATTTGGTATTGGCAAGTACTTGTACTCTGTCTGCAAATAGTGGTACTGGTGCATTCCTGTTTTCTGCAATACATTAATACATCAGTCCAGCTCCAGTTGGTTGGAGAAAACAGACAAAACAAGACGTGTATAAATTTTATTCATTGTTATTTTTTTGCTAGCTGCTGAAATTCTATAGACCAAGTGTTTAATCAATTAATCATAAAATAATGAATAAGTTCACCATTATAATGAACATAAAAAATAAAATAATGAATATTTTTATGTTTTAAACCCCACACCGTTTACGCCACTAGAGTGCTCTCTGTCTGTGCTGGTGCACTGCTGTGTACTTGAAGTGTGATCGCCACCTGTAGATCAATGGAGCACTGAAAACATTGTCAAGAATGTGCATTTTGCGTCAACAATATGCACATGCATTTATGTGTCCTTGTGCGACAAAAACAGGCGAGCCCCTCAGAGAAAAACAACTTCACGTTTACGTTCACGTTTCAGATCACAGTGGTTACGTAAGAACAGAAAGCAACTGGAACTTGTTTCCTTATCAAATAGCAGGTGGTTCAAATTATGAGCTGCCATTTGTCACAGTTCAAAGTTTGTGATGTGTAAAAGCAAAATGTAGTGTTATTATTCACCCAGCTCTACCATCTGAAAGTTGTCCTATATCACTAAGTTAAACATTAAGCCTTCAACTCAAGCCTCTTTAGACTCTTTGCACAGCCTTGTGTTTAACCTTATTCCATTAATATACCTTCAGGCAGACAAGTTACAGCAAGGCATATGGTAAACACAAAAAAAGAAATGTGTGCGTATGTGAGTGTGTGTGTGGGATGACAACAGCAAAAGTAGGTCAGTGCATTGGGCCCGCCAGAACACACAGGCGTGGTGGCCGAGGGAGGGAGGGAGAAAGGGAGGGCGCTGCTGTGTTAATGTGCAGGTCAGTGGCTGCATGTAGTTGCTGTAGAAATACAAGCAAGGCAGTTACAGCAGCCATCAGGCCTTAGACGCTCACACACACAGGACACTATGTGTCCACAGGTTCCCGCTACACATCTTGAGCATGTCGCCACTCATCAGACAACTTGCTTCTTGCTCTACAGAGGGGGATAAGTGACCGTTTATGAGGCCAAATGATTGTGAAGAGCAGTGTAAGTGAGGAGAGCTGCAACAAGCAGGGATGTGGTTCCAAAGCATTTTAATGAATCTCAACCCGCTTATCAGATGCTGGGTGTTGAATCAAGACGTCTTTAAGTTTAAAACATGTAAAGTTTTTATTTAACTCAGCAGTGTAAAAATACATTTCAGTTGTATAACCTCTAGAGTCCTGAGCTTTGGAAACCCAAGCTGTGCGGTCCTCATATGAGGACGCAGGGACTCTAGAGGTTAATGTAACAAAAGATATCATTTGATTTAGGAATCAAGTTTCTTCTAACAACTTTTATAACACAGTCCAATTACCAGACAATGACACTGGTTTAGCTTGATTAACTATCAAGCTAAACCATGGATGGGCTGCTGCGCTGACTTCTCTGACATGCATTAACCCTGCCCTCATGGGGGGGCTGTGCTGCAGCTGCAGAAGCCACAGAAGCTCAACAAAAACATCAGAGAGAGCGAATATCAATTAAATAAATCCCTGATGTGCACTGTACACAACCTGAAGGCAAACTTGTTGTTCCACTGCTACAGCGCAACTCTGTTATCAAAAATTCAATTCAAAATATCAAAGTTCTTACTTTCACACACTGGGCAGCTGATAAATATTTGAACAGAAGACCTGTTGTTGTTATGAGTGCCCTCCTGCAAATATAATGTTTTGCAGTCGTTTTGTTGACTTTGGAAAGTTTGTGCAGGTTCACAGCAGTGTCACCGAGTTATCACGTAGTTTTCTTTGAAACTAAACTGTGACTGACAAGTTGGTAACAACACCATCATGGCAGTTTTCTCAGACATCTTCTTGCTCAGTAATGTCGTGTTGCTGACCAAACAGAAAACACGGCCAGTTCCTTACCTTTGCCCTGACGTGTTGCATGGCGAGCCCTTCCTCTTGCGCGACTCTGGCGTGGCAGGATCCAGGGGGCTTTCCCCTAGTGCACTCATTTTCAGCTTTAACTGACTGTGGAGGAGGACCACACAGTAAAGTCAGTGACCAAATAAACACAACCTTTACTGTGAATCCCACAGCAAAACCACTGATCTTTTATTCCCCATCAGTCAATGCAGCAGTTATTACAACAATCTAAACATGCTTCAAGTAATAACTAAGAATATTCTTTGACTGCCTTTATAGTTTGGTTTGAAGACAAAGTCATCAGTTAATTAACAGCTCTTACTGTCATGCACTAGTCATAATTACATTTGATTATAGTATACAGTCAATGATAAGGTCAGCACAATGCACAGCTCATGTGACCTTTAGTCTGGGGCCACAGTTCAGCAAGTTTTTAGTACAGCAGAATAAAAACAGAAAAGCCAAAGATAACACTGCCTTTCTTTAGTTTTAACAGTGGCACATGCACCAAAATGTTACCAGAACCAGTTACACAAACATTTAATAGACCAAACAGTTGCTCAATTAATCGAGAAAAAAAAAAAGTTGAGATTATTTGATAATGAACATAATCATTAATTCTTTAGCTATGCAGTGAGAATGAGGGTGAATTTTCTGTGCTTGTCCAGCCACTGAAAGACCTGGACGTATTTATTGCAGATACATAAATCATAAATCAAGCTTTAAAAATCATATGCCATGCATAATGTGTACACAGTGAAGCAGATTTACATATGTAGTTCAATCCGTTAATGACAGAGCAAATTACACTGTCACACTGCATTTAGTAAACATCAGAATAGTTTTGATTCAGTAATACACAACGTTACGTAGGGAAATGAACGTAACACTGGAATTTAGCCTGCTACCAGGATGAAAGCCTAGGCAGGCCACAAAATAACATGTTCTGCAGGAAACCTGCATCTGATTCAACTAATTTTAACACTGTAGTTTGTGGTAATATTGTTTTAGATTGAAATATGTTCAAAAGCCTCCCTAATATTTGGTCTGGTCAATTTTGTGACATTTCTCTTCTGTCTCCCTTAATGAACTTGTACCTGTTATTTTTTATTTATTTATTTATTTTTTATCAAAAAACTCACTCATTTTTACTGCATCGGGATTGTAGCCATGGCAACAGAAAATGCTGCAATGCTTGATGAAGTACATCGTGTTTAGAGGACAGTTAACAGGGTTCCTGCAAAATGCTGTAAGCCAAATGTTACAGTTAAAACTTTTTTCATCTACCAGAACCTGGTTTTAAGACCAACACAATAAACCACACAAACACACAGAGCTGCAAAAATCAGTTACAGAGTTTCTGCAGGGTTTACAAAGTTAAAGAGCTTCTTAATACAGCATGTAATGCAATCTAATTCCTGTTTCACTGTCCAGAGGGCAGAAGACAGGGTCAGTATTTCAAGAATGACCTTAGCGTTCAGTTATGATTGACAAGTCCTGATCATGTCTGTATTTTTGGCAACAAGTAAACACAGGTCAAATTTAATGACATAAAGAGAACATAAGATGCAGTAGTTCATTTGAATGATGTACCTAGAAACACCAAATGTATTTGCTGCATTCTGTGCATTCCCACAGTAAAAAGGTACATTTTCACAAAAAAAAAGTCAAGAAGTAAATGAACTATAACTGCAGTCGACGGCAAAGACACATACTATGATGTTCACAGTTTAAACAGGCAACAGGTTTAAAGAAAACAAGTATTACATGTTTATTTTAGACTGATTATTCCCTATGTGTAAATAGAGACAAGGGCAGCAGGTTGGTCAGTAAATATAAAATATATTTTAATCGATGCAGCTTAGAGTGCAGTATTCAACTGTCATCATCACCGTTTACACTGACTGCATTAAACCGTTATTATTATCTTGAATCAGTCTCCATCACAGAGAGCAACAAGTGTAGGAGTTAAAAAAAAAGCTCATTTTCACATTTATTTCCTTTTCTACAGTGATTCATATACTGTAAATCTACGGGTTCACTGACCTAACGTTGCTATCCCACTGTTACGGCTTTAAGGGCATGAAGTGTCAGATGACAAACTGGATCACTGACCTAACTTTGCTATCTCTAGACTGTGACACAGAGTGGCTAAAAACAAAAACAAGCGGTGAACCGTCGAGGCTGAAAGATAATATGTTTATGCGTCCAGCTACACTCATTCACTCATGGCAGTCTGGGAGTAATCTGGCACTCTGGCTGCAGATCCTCAAACCGCATGGTCTCAGTCGGAGCGCTGCAGTTTTCTGTAGATACTCTCTTGACTATGTTGACACTTCTTTAATATGATTCATGTGAAATACATAAATACAGAAGCAAAACTGGGGGCTGCAGGCCTTTACTGTGAAACCTTGTCAGGAAGTGTTTACAATATAGAAAAACAAACAAGAAACTCTGTGACAACTGTAAAGTAGTTTTGGTAAAAAGAAGAATAAACATGTGAGGCGGTTAGAGGTTTCTTTTCTCTAACGTCCTGCTGGTAATGACGGTGTCTTTGTCATTATGTACTTGTCCTTTCTACATAAAGTTTCAAAACCACTCTTCAGAAAACCAATGGGTGTCATCATGGTGGGTTTGTCCAGTTTTTATATATAGTCAATGGCTGACACTGAGCAACTCACTGTTATGATAAATAAAACGTGCACTGCAGAGGGTAAGTTGCTATCTCCACCACACGGATGTCGAAAAATATCGATTTTACACCCAGAAGAGTGGGCTGCGGTCTTTGCATCCAAGTATAAGAACAGCAACTAGTACTACTACTACTACTACCACTATTACTACTGCTCTGAAGCGCAGCCAAACAGCCAAGCTGTTTATCTTAACTCTGAAAAATACTTCATATGTCAAAAGCTGAAATTTGTGGTAAAATCTGAATCCACTGGCTGGGAAACCAAAGTGTTCCAATGATCTGTTTCAACTTCCTCCATTCCCTGCTCTTTCTCATCCACACAAGTTTAAGATTAGGGACTTCCTATAGCAAAAGTCACATCATATTCTTCTGGCTGTAAACGCAGCACATCTAACAGACCATGCAACCGTGCACGGTAATAAACACCTCTGCTAAAGTGGTGCCCCTTAACTGATCCTTTTGCATGACCAAAGGTATTATGCACACAACCCAAAGCAGTATTTGAATTATTATATTGTGCAATCTGTGTTAACATAACTAGACCTTCAGACAGAGAGTGGGGAGTGAATCATGTGGATTATCAGGAGGAAGGTAGAGAGTGAAACAGGAAGGAGAGAGGATGGGAGGAAAAAGTGCAAGACTGACACAAAGACACGTTCATTCATTCCTTAATACTTTTCCAAATGTATATACAAGCATCTTTGGGAGTCTACAGGAGTCATCTGGCCATCCAACTAAAATACTGGGCTGCCCTTTAGTTTACACTGAAAAATTTCCACAAACTGTAAATAACAGTACAAGTCTCACATAAATCTAAAAAAATCTGTAACATCCAATACATGAAAAGATGAAGGCTATATTAACCGGTCCTGGTGTGGAGTTGAAGCCTAATAAACCCATGAGAAGAATAAGATTATTATGGCTTTGCATTTTGCTGGTCCCAAATTGATTGATAATAAAAAAATAACTGTTAGTTCCAGCCTGATATGAAACCAATGGCTAACCCCTGATCCTGTTGGGCATCTTGGTATAAATGTGAATCAGAAGAGTGGAGATGAAAGGCTATGAGGTTCCTGGATGGTTCCTGCAGCCTCACTTCTCATGGTGCCCCATCTTGGTGCTGATGTACATTCACTCTGTACATTTTTAATAAAAATTCCCCAGAGAATTGATCAAATTCTATGTCTTCCTTCACCTCAAACATGTCTCTGAATAACCCATAACTTTGCAGGAACCTTGGAGTACGGAGTCCTGACTGGAATAACTAAGATTTGTAACAGCAGAGGACAACACATGCTATTAAGGAATTCTGTTCATAATCAAGTGAGTGAGAAAATACTGTCATATTTGCTAATAAAATGATGCAGTAGATCACCACACTGATCATGTACACAGTGTTTCCACCCGTCTCTGCTCCACTGACTTGGTACAGTCCACGAGAAGCCGTTTAGTCGCTGTTGCTAAGACCCACCCTCGTGAATATAGGACAAGAGCAGGGAATGTGTACAGCTTCAGCCACCGTGCGTACACCGACTCCTGGATGGTCCCGACATATAACACATATGGACAGGTGACATTTTGTTTTTGTTAGTGTGCAGCTTCACTACAGTGGAGATAGTACATACATACATCGAGCTGGTCTGATATGGCTGCCACACACGGTCATGTTTAAGGTCAGGTTACTCATAATTCAATCTCCTGTTAATCAACTACTACAGACAGGCACCTATACATGTGCATCACTAATCTAATCTAATTATGAATGACCTGTAACCTTCCTCACCTTTGTAACAGGTCATTTGAAATAAGGCATACTGTGTTTCAGAGAGCTTATCACTCATATCAGCTCCATTTCAAACCTCAGTCGATCAATATATTTGTTCTTAATCTGCCTATTCAATATATATCCAATATATCCAACCAGAGCAGACATCACAC